AGCAGTCTTTCCTGAACAAGTGCCTTGATAAGGTTTAGGGTTTAGGGTTTAGGGTTTAGGGTTCAGGGTTTAGAGTTTAGGGTTTAGTGCCTTGGCACCCTTTAACTTACTTCGCCTTGAATTGAGCTCTAAACTTTTTGGGTTTCCTTATTTAGTAGGAATATGGAAGTTTAACGTTTTTTCCTCTGGTTGTTTGAGAAGTAAGGTAAAGCCGAAAGCCTAAAACCTAAACTCAAAACCCTAGAACGCCTAAACCCTGAATCCCAAACCCTAAACCCTAAACCCCAAACCCTAAGCCCTAAACCCTAAACCCTAAGCCCTACCTGCTTACCAAGGTGCCCTCTGAGTCTCAGCGATTTTAAATTCCCAGAGCCAAAGTTCCTTACCGACGCACAGGCCGGTTTAGGGTTTCAGGGTTTTAGGGTTTAGGGTTTTAGGGTATTAGGGTGTTAAAATTTTAGGGTTTAGGGTTTAGGGTTTAGGGTTTAGGGTTTGGGGTTTAGGGACTCTCCCGTAGACCCCTAAGGTGGTACCCTTGGGTTTTGGACCCCTTCTTATAGATCCTTAAGGTTAGCGCTGGCACTTAACACGACGCCTTTAGTGGTGCAACCATTGGGGTACGAGTCCAGTAGGGTGCGGGGGTTTTAGGGTTTAGGGCTTAGTGTTCAGGTTTGTTTTTGGACGGGGCATTTGGGCTGCTTATGCTTCTTATCGTTTTAGGTTTCTTAGGGTTAGGCTTTGGGGCTTTACGGTTCTTAGGGTTTGAGGGTTCAGGTTTTCAGGGGGTAGATTTGAGGGCGGCGGTTTCAGGCCGTGATGAACACAATCAATGGGTTCCTGGACAAGCTGACGGGGCTCATCGACAAGCAGCATCTGAGCTATTCATGAGCATGCTTCTTCTTCTTCTTCTTATTCTTTTGAGCTTTGGGTGCCCTTCTTCAACACCACAAGCAACTCCAAAAAGGTGTTGAAGAGCAGCTTTCTCCCCGCAATTCCTGAGCAACCCGAGGCATTGCGTTTGGGTCCCGCACGTTCATTGTGAGACCCGCTGGCACTGCTGGCATTGGTGTGTGGGATGCCCCGGCTGGGGTCGCCGTCGGCGCTGGAGCGGTTTCCACTGGCGTTCCTTGCGAACCAAAGGAGTTTTATAGGGGGTTTAGGGGGTGGGATGTGCCCTCCTAAACCCTAAACCCTAAACCCTAAACCCTAAACCCTAAATCGGGATTATGGTGCCCCTTATTCTAGTCCTTATTGAAGGACTGCTAGTGTAAGGGAAGTTTAGGGTTCCAGATAGGCCTCAATGGGGATTGTGGTAGCCTAGGGCATACGATTCCAACTTTAGGGGCGAGTTGTCCCCGAAAAGGTTCCTGCTGTGGACATACGTGCGTCCCGTACCCTCATTGCTGGGTCTCCTGGCACCACTACTGCTTCAGTGCCGGGTCCATCTTGAACGGCATCAACGGCTGGCTCAACACCTTCTTCAGCCCGCTCTTGGCGGCTTACTTAGCCAATAGTTGAGCTTCAAACTTTCTGAGTTTCCGTATTTTGTAGGAAGATTAGCCCTAAACCCTAAACCCTAAACCCTAAACCCTAAACCCTAAACCCTTTTTGTCCCTTGGCTACTGGAGAAGTAAGGCGGTTGTGGAGAAGGCCATTGATATCATCCTCACCCCTGTCAGATGGATCATGGAGGGGCTGACGAACTCGATCCTGAAGCCCTTGCAGAACCTAGGTTGGTTTAGGGTTTAGGGTTTAGGGTTTAGGGTTTAGGGTTTAGGGTTTAGGGTTTAGGGTTTAGGGTTTAGGGTCTAGGTTTTGGGGTTTAGGGGTTACGGTTTAGGCTTTAGGGTTTAGGGTTTGGGGTTTAGGCTTTTTTGGGACATTTTTGAGTTTCCCTTTTCGGGTTTGTTTAAGGGGCCCTATATAAATATTTTTCGGAGGTTTTGAAGTGCAACCCAGGAACCTTAAGATCAACATCGACTTCCCTGACATCGGTGATCTCTTGCCTCACATTCCCGGCCTGGATCTTTTAACATGCAAAGAGCTGAAGCAGCTTGCCCGCTGAGACGCACCTGTCATGTCCGACAGGGGACGCCCCTGTCATGTCCGACAGGGAGGCCTCTATTTCTGGGTCCTTCCTGCTGGTTCTTACAAGGGAATTAGGAGTCCTCTTGTCCCTGTATAGTTCAGAGGAGATGCCCCAAACCCTAAACCCCAAACCGTAAACCCTAAACCCTAAACATAGTTCACGAATTCCCTGCCAAGAACCATTATGGCAGCTGGGTGATATCGCAAGGTGGCAAGTTGCTGACCTCGCAGCAACCAACCACTTACTTGCGTTCACTTAGTGGTTGAGTGAGTACACTTTACACTTTTTGAGATACTCTAACCTAAACCCGAAACCCTATAACCTAAACCCTTAACCCTAAACCCTAAACCCTACTATAGAACTGAAAGTGTACACTTCTTTGGAGCTTATGAACTCAGCAGCTAAGTGCATAACCCCGGCTTGTAGGTTAATTCGTCTCGTAAGTTTTGACTGGGCGGCAGTCTTGCAAAAGAAAGTCGAAACCCTAGACCCTAAACCCCGAAACCCTGAAACCCTAAACCCTGAACCCTGAAACCCTAAAACCCTAAAACCCGTAAAACCCTGAACCTTAACCCCTAGCGAAGGCAGAGCCCTCAATCCGAAGCCCTCCTAGGACAGAACCCTCGGACCCGCAGTAATCCCGTCCCCCTGCCCCCAATTTAGGGTTTAGGGTTTAGGGTTTAGGGTTTAGGGTTTAGGGTTTAGGGTTTGCTGCCATAAGGCGTCGATGCTGTGAAGGTTAGCTCTTGGAACAAGCTCGAAAGCTTCGTGAGGCGCGAAGAGCAGCTTTGGCCCCATTGCGGAGGGCCATCTAACACTCTTCTCCCACCCCACGCCGTCCAAGGCGGCAAAGCCACCCAAATTTACTCCCTCTAGGGTTTAGGCCTAAACTCAAGTAAACTGACTCACAACCAACAACTTCTGCCGGTAGTTTGTTGAGGGCTTCAACGGAGAAATTGTTTCAGCACGCAAGGCTGGGCACTTGCCTTGTGGGACCCAACAAGCGCAAGTCAAAACAAAGGAGATAAAAGCAAAAAACTGGCTGAGGGCAGCGCCGAGTAAGTGAGCAGGGAGGATGCCCATCGCTGAGGCTCGCTGCTTTGCATCGACGTCGGACAAGAATATACGTCTCTCGTTTGTCAGGGCAGAATTTTTTGCCGAGGTGAGGAACAGGGTTGGGCCCGCACGGGTGAAGCAGACAGGGCTGCTTCCAAAGCCGACCCTCTTAAGCCCTGAGCGTTCGGACAGAGATCAGGGGTCCCAGCTTGCTAAGTGACTAGGAGGCTTTCAAGAGGGCAGGTTTGGGTGGGTCAGGTCAAGGGTCAGACTAGGGCCCTGTCAGGGCAGTCACGGGGCCCAGGCTGGCAGGGGGAGCCCAGGTGGTCCCAAGAAAAGGCTGCAGGGAGGGCAGGGAGGGCGAAAATGCCAGCCACGCCCAGGATCATGACCTGAGAGTTTAGGGTAATTACTTCATTATCAGGGACCAGTACTGGTCCCGAGGAGAACGTGCTCAGTACCGGGCCCATCGTGGGTGCTACCGACCCCCATGCTGTGGGGGCGGGCGAACGCCGGGGTCGGCTTGAAGGGCTTAAGTGCCGCCCCCCCCCAACGCAGGGGGGCGGCCTAGGCCCTGAGTGTAGGGTTTAGGGTTTAGGGTCTACCCCCTACCCCCAATATTAAACCACCCCCCCATAAACTCTAATATACCTATAATCGGGGCTTTTAATATTAGTGCGTAATGGGGGGGTTTAATATTAGGGGGAGGAGATGAGGCCCCCATTCTAAACGCTTTACTTGGAGGTTCATGGTACTGGTTAGCCAATTCTAACTGTACTTATAACTGTACTTATCACCATAGTAGGGCAGTTAAGGGGCTTATCAGTGGGTTATAAGCTTCAAGTACAGCTATGATTGGTTCATGAGTACCATGAACCGCCAAGTACCTCCTGAAGTAGCCTTGGATTGATAGGGCATATAAGAGGTCTAGAAGGGGGTTCTAAGGGCCCATATGAAGGGACCCATGAAACCACCCCAAGACTCAGTTCCCTTTATTTAGTGTTCAGGTTCCCTTATGTCAGCCCGCCTTGAAGCCAAACAGGGCACCCTTTTCATTCCTAGGTTACTTTTGGGGTATCTTAAACCCAAATACCGTACCCTAATTCCTCGGATGCTCTTGGGTCTCGAACGGTAGGTGCATGGTCCAGTCTCTATGTAGCACAGGGGAGCTGTAAATTAGGGTGGCTTCCCCACCCATGGGTCCCCTGAAACTCTCCAGGCAAAGGAGGGGTCCTCCAAGCTGCCACGACCATCTCTATAGGGTTTTAGTTTAGGGTTTAGGGTTTAGGGTTTCGGGTTTCGGGTTTAGGGTTTAGGCTTCTTTATGCAGCGGGCCTCCCCCCGACCACCTAAGCATTTTTTTTGGTTGAAGGTGCGCGCTGCTGCTTCCTATCCCAGTGAACGTCAAGTAGCCCCACAACCCCTCAACCCTCAAGACCTCGACAGTAAAACCCCTCAACCCCTCGACTTTAAGACCCCTCAACCCCTCAACGCCTCAACCCCTCAACCCCTCAACCCCTCAACCCCTCAACCCCTCAACCCCTCAACCCCTCAACCCTTCAACCCTCAACCCCTTGACACTAAAACCCCCCAACCCTCGACCCCATCGACCCTAAAACTCAACCCTAAACACACCCAAAGGGTCCATGTACCTAAAGGGGTGGTTGTCAAACTTATGATCCCTTTTCGGGTACCCTAAAATATTAGGTTCCGTATTATAGTAGGGATCCAAAGAGGGACCATCCCTAAACCCTAAACCCTAAACCCTAAACCCTAAACCCTAAACCCTAAACCCTAAACCCTAGAACCTAGAACCTAAACCCATCTGCTATATACTTGGGGGGCTCAGCGAGAGGATCCGGTGGCGTGGCGCCGTGGTTTCCGAAGGGCGGGGCGGCGGACCCAGACAACATTTAGGGTTTAGGGTTTAGGGTTTAGGGTTTAGGGTGTAGGGTTTAGGGTTCAGGGTTTGGGGTTTAAGGGTTTAAGGGGTTTTAGGGTTTAAGGGTTTAGGGTTTAGGGTTGGAAGCCATCTACAGGATTGAGGGTTTAGGGTTCAGGGTTCAGGGTTGAGGCTTTAGGGACCAAGGACATCATGCGTTCGGGTTTTGTGTGTGTCAAGAGACAGACTGGATCATACTGTAAGACTCTTGGAATGAGGGTTTGAAAAACCCGTGCCCTATACACTTTCAACACCCTGAACTCTACACCCTAAACCCTCAACCCCCTGCCGACATAATTTAGAGATCAGGGTTTGTTTTTTTCAGGCCGGGACCTACTGAATGCTAGGGTTTAGGGTTGAGGGTTGAGGGTTTAGGGTTTAGGGTTTAGGGTTTAGGGTTTGGGGTTTGGGGGTTTAGGGTTTAGTGTTTAAGGCCCCTTAACCCTGGTTCTGGGCACGCGGAGCAGGTCCAGCGCAGCTGCGGTGGGTGTCGTCGCAGGCCGGTGCTGCTTCAGCTGTTCGGGCGCAGGACTCCTACCATTATTGATGGGGTTCTTAAGGGAGCAAGGGGGGTATGATTTAGGGTTTAGGGTTTAGGGGGTTCAAGGGGGGTATGCAACCCAAGGTTCCCTAATAGTCCTGACTGCTCGCTAAGCTGCCCAAAGATTTTGTAGGTACCTAAACACCGTGAACCCCCTCCCAACTGGACACCTCAGCCCCCAACTCCCTAAACCCGAAAAACCTATGCCCCTAAGCCCCTAAGACCCCAGCATGAAATGCATAGGGTTTTGGGTTTAGGGTTTAGGGCCGGTTTCGGGTTTAGGGTTTAGGGTTTTGGGTTGATGCCCTATTTTCAGCCTCGCAACCCCCTTTTTCGTATCGATGCATCAGCGACCCAAAATACACATTCTCGTCACCAATCTGCGTAGTCTTCTAAAAGACGGTCCCTTTTGGCGGTCCTGATGGTAAGGGTGCCGTATATAGGACCCAAAAGGGACCTACTACTTGGAGGTTCATGGTACTTCTTTACCAAGCAGAGCTGTACTTATAACCCACTTACAAGCCCCGTAGGTGCCGTAACATGATTGTAAGTGCAGTTACCCAAAGCCCTAAACCCTAAACCCTAAACTCCTTTAGGTACAGTTATGATTGGTTAATAAGCACCATGAACCTCCAAGAAGCAGGCAGCCATCTTCTGCGCAGTGTTCCCGACGCCATACGTGGTTGACCGGCCCTCCGTGGCGGAGCGACTGCGCCCCCCAGTCCGCAGATGATTTAGGTTTTGGGTTTAGGGTTTAGGGTTTAGGGTTTTAATCACAACCATGCTCAACCGTAATCACATTCAGAGTCAAAAGCATACATTTGGTTCATAGTGATCATCTTATCCTTCAGAACCAGAACTCTGAAGGCTTGGTTGTGGTTGGTCATCAGCACCATCGTCGCCAGAACGCTGATCATAAGCATCACATGAAACCCAATACTCACCCTAACCCCTAAACACTAAACCCTAAACCCTAAACCCTAAACCTTAAACCCTAAAGAGTTTGCTGGCGGCGGTAGTGGTGGCAGCGGTGTTAGGGGTAGTCGCAGTTGGAGTGTGGTCATAATTTTCGCAACAATATGGTGTCTAGGATGCTTTTCCAGGCCCCTTGTAGACAAAATGTATGCATTTGTTCTTCCCCGGGTTACTTGGGCAGGGCTCAAAATTCAACAGTCAAGTACTGCCACCGCTGTAAACACTTCAGTCGGAGCTTGTGTATAGGAGTGCTATGACCCTCACTTAGGGTTTAGGGTTTGGGGTGTAGGGTTTGGGGTATAGGGTACATATTCTTCTACCTTACACGCATCTACGCACAGTCATCCCCAATGCAGGCCTACCCCACCCACCTCCCTCCCCGGCACTATCCAAAGTCGCTTCCCAAAGCCGGAGACCCACAAATCTGCTCTCAAGAGGGTTTAGGGTTTCGGGTTTCGGGTTTCGAGTGTTTAGGGCTTTGCCCTCCAACCCCAAATCTCAACCCCATACCACACATAGAGCTTCCGAAATTCGGGTGCTCATTCTCGCGGAACCTACGGTAAGGTCATCGTATACTTGTACTTGGGTGTACAAAAGAGGGGCACCTCCCCCCTCCCACCTTTAAGGAAGTACTCAAATCCCAAAGAAAAACACCTCCCCCCCCCCCCCCCCCCCCCCCCCCCCCTCCCGCGCCGCCTTTAAGGAAGTCCCCCAATCCCTGGACCTGTAGTACCAAATGCAACAACCAAGGAAAAGATCCCTGGGAACTCCAGGCACCTCTGTTGTTTTGTGGGGGTTCGTGTAGGGTTCAGGGTTCAGGGTTTAGGGTTTAGGGTTTAGGGTTTAGGGTTTAGGGTTTAGGGTTTAGGGTTTAGGGTTTAGGGTTTAGGGTTTAGGGTTTAGGGTTTAGGGTTGCCCTAAACCCTGTGTCCGTGCCCCTCGAAGCCCTGAGTCGTAGACTCCTGTGAAACCTAAACCTCTAAGGCGTGTCAACGAGGATGTCGATGCAATTCAGTTTAATTTCAGACCCTTAGGGTCCATTTGCCTCCAGAGTATGTACTTGGGCCCTACAGCCACTGTATAGGAGCCCATTTCAGGCCCAAGTATATACTTCACCCTAAACCCTAAACCCTAAACCCTAAACCCTAAGGATGTGTTGGGGAGAGCTGAAGATGCAAGTTCCTTATCGAGGCGTAGTCTTCGGGGGGTGAGATTACCTGCTTTGAGCGGGACCAGCGAAGGGCCAACGGAGTGGCATTTGTTTGGGTTTAGGGTTTAGGGTTTTAGGGTTTAGGGTTTTAGGGTTTAGGGTTTAGGGTTTAGGGTTTAGGGTTTAGGGTTTAGGGTTTTAGGGTTAGGGTTTAGGCTTTAGGGTTTTTGGGTTTAGGGTTTTAGGGTTTAGGCTTCAGGGGTTCTATCCCAGGTCAGAGGTTCCAGGGTCCTTCAAAAAAATCTAACCAACCCCCCAAAGAGACTGAGCTAGCAAGCTTGTCAAGGTGCTTCTAGGGGAGGGGGGGGTCTCAGTGGGGGAGGGAACCTTAGGGAATCTGAGGCCGCCCTATACTAGTTTGAGAGTTCAGGGATTAAGATTTAGGATTGAGGGTTCAGGGTTTCAAGATTTAGGACTGAGGGTTTAGGGTTTAGGGTTTAGGGTTTAGGGTTTAGGGTTTAGGGTTAGGGTTTTAGGGTACCGCGTCCCCTGACCAACATTGACGATTGTCAGCGGCAATCCTCACCAAGACTTTGGGGCTCTGTAGGGTTTACTGGCCAGGGTTCATGGGGCTCTTAGGGACACTTGCAAATGATTTATTTTTTGGGCGCCTTAATTCCTAAGAAACAGCTAAAGTGATGATTTTTACTAGGTTTCCAAGTTCAGTGTAGTTAGGGTTCAGGGTTGACGCTGTCTCTCTAGAGCAGGCAATGCTGCGAGCGCGAGTGCACGACCAGGAGATGCTTGGCTGAAGTTTGATGGCGTGCAGGGAGCGAGACAGCGAGCGAGACAAGGAGAGAGAGAGAGAGATGGTACCACCCCCCCCCCCCTCTACCAACAAAATGGAGAGTCAACGAATACGAAATGCTACTGTTAGGCCATTTGTTTCGAGTCTTATACTTGCAAGGTATCAAGATGTCCTCTGACTGTCATGTCGCACATGCCCTGCCTGCCCTGTAAGCTGCAAAAGCGCCCATTCCCTAAACCCTGAACCCTACACCCCCCCCCCCCCCCCCTTCCGTATAGGATCCTTAGGTAGCCGAGACACTCAACCCTAAAGCACAGGTAGGCTTGGGAAATCGAAGTTCAGGCCGTAGCAACCTCGTCCACCAAACCCCACCGATGGCAGGAATGAGGCAGTTAGGGGTATAGGGTTTAGGGTTTAGGACCTGGGGTTTAGGGCTTAGGGTTTAGGGTTTAGGGTTTTAGGGTTTTAGGGTTTTAGGGTTTTAGGGTTTTAGGGTTTTAGGGTTTTAGGGTTTTAGGGTTTAAGGGTTTAAGGGTTTAGGGTTTGAGGCGACGGCTGATGGTCCTGAACCGGGTGGGTCAGGGCTGCCTCGTTTTCATGCAGGACCCGCAACGAATCGGGCTCATGGGATTGGAGCTTCAAGGTTTGTGGCAAACGCCTAAACATTGGAACATCCTTGTCCCCATACCCCAAAAGGTACGCCAAAGGGAATCCCAGCTCTAAGCATTCTTACACCATGTTCCAACTTTCGGGAGTTTCCTGTAGGGTCTTGGGATCTTCGTGTGTAAGGATTATGGAACAATGCATGCAAGGTCTTGCAGTTTTCAGGGGCATAAGCAAGTACGGGATCTTGGGTTTTTCGGCTTTAAGGTTTGCACCGCGTCTCGCGATTTTGATGGTTAGGGTTACCAGTGGTTTCCCAAACCCTATAAGCCCTCAATCCTAAAACGCCCAAAATCCTAAACCCTACAAACCCTAAACCCTAAACCCTAAACTCCTAGCTTTTAGGGCCCGAGAACCCTCCACATCCCTAAGCTCCAAAGCCCTAAATCCCCAAACCCCCAAACCCTAAAAACTTTAGGGTTTAGGGTTTAGGGTTTAGGGTTTAGGGTTTAGGGTTTAGGGTTTAGGGTTTAGGGTTTAGGGTTTAGGGTTTAGGGTTAAAACCAAAACCCCAAAACCCGGAAACCCTGAAAGCCCTAAAGCCCTCCATCCTGCGCATCTGTAGACCCCGATACCCCCGACTTACTTAAACCCCCCTAAATGCAGAGCCCTTCATCCTCGATTCCTTGATTACCCTACAACCCTAAACCCTAAACCCTAAACCCTAAACCCTAAACCCTAAACCCTAAACCCATTCCCCTACAACCCTCATGCCGTATGCTTGAATCACGCCCCGGCCCTCAGGGCTGAGGGTTCTGAAGTTTTAGGGTTGGGGGGTTGAGGGCTTCAGAGGCTTAGGGTTTTGGGGTTCTAAAGTTTTAGGGTTCTAAAGTTTTAGGGTTGGGGGGTTGAGGGCTTCAGAGGCTTAGGGTTTTGGGGTTCTAAAGTTTTAGGGTTCTAAAGTTTTGGGGTTTTGGGGGGGTTGAGGGCTTCAGAGGCTTAGGGTTTTGGGGTTCTAAAGGTTTAGGGTGCTAAAGTTTTAGGGGTTTGGGGGGGGTTGAGGGCTTCAGAGGCTTAGGGTTTTAGGGTTCTAAAGGTTTAGGGTTCTAAAGTTTTAGGGTTTTGGGGGGGTTGCGGGCTTCAGAGGCTTAGGGTTTTAGGGTTCTAAAGGTTTAGGGTTCTAAAGTTTTAGGGTTTTGGGGGGGTTGCGGGCTTCAGAGGCTTAGGGTTTAGGGTTCTAAAGGTTTAGGGTTCTAAAGTTTTAGGGTTTTGGGGGGGTTGAGGGCTTCAGAGGCTTAGGGTTTTAGGGTTCTAAAGTTTGAGGGTTCTAAAGTTTTAGGGTTTTGGGGGGGTTGAGGGCTTCAGAGGCTTAGGGTTTTAGGGTTCTAAAGTTTGAGGGTTCTAAAGTTTTAGGGTTTTGGGGGGGTTGCGGGCTTCAGAGGCTTAGGGTTTTAGGGTTCTAAAGGTTTAGGGTTCTAAAGTTTTAGGGTTTTGGGGGGGTTGAGGGCTTCAGAGGTCAGAGGCTTAGGGTTTTAGGGTTCTAAAGGTTTAGGGTTCTAGAGTTTTAGGGTTTTGGGGGGGTTGAGGGCTTCAGAGGTCAGAGGCTTAGGGTTTTAGGGTTCTAAAGTTTGAGGGTTCTAAAGTTTTAGGGTTTTGGGGGGGTTGAGGGCTTCAGAGGCTTAGGGTTTTAGGGTTCTAAAGTTTGAGGGTTCTAAAGTTTTAGGGTTTTGGGGGGGTTGCGGGCTTCAGAGGCTTAGGGTTTTAGGGTTCTAAAGGTTTAGGGTTCTAAAGTTTTAGGGTTTTGGGGGGGTTGAGGGCTTCAGAGGCTTAGGGTTTTGGGGTTTGGGGCTCAAGGCTTCAGAGTCTTTGAGTTTTAGGGTGGAGAGGCTGAGGGCTTTAGGGTTTAGAGTTTTAGGGTTAGGGTTTAGAGTTTTTTAATCTTAGGGTTTTGGATTTTCAGGGATTTAGGGTTTAGGGTTTCTTTGCGGGCTTTTAGGATTGAGAGCCCGCGCGATGGCGGCGCAGGACGCAGATGGCCGCCGGCAGTGCTGAAAAATCAAAAAGGGCTTGGCTGGATCCTGCTCCGGGGTTTGAGGGTTTAGGGTTAGGGTTGAGGGTTTAAGTTTAGGGTTTAGGGTTTAGGGTGTAGGGGTGAATAGGTTCGGGCTTATACAGGGCTTCGGGCTTAGGGTCTTGGACGTTCAAAGTTAGGGGGGGGGGGGGGGGGGGGGGGGGGGTGGCTTGCAGCCCGGCCTGACAGCCTTGGAAAGACTAAGCCAGAATCCCAAGCTTTCAAAGCATTGAAGCCTAAACCCTAAATCCTAAACCTAAACCCTAAACCCTAAACCTTGAACCCAAAGTCACTAGCCTCAAGCCAGGAATCCTGAACCCTTAGTCAGCCCCCACCCCCCCTTGCAGGGAGGGCACCTGGCTATGGCGATTATCGTTTTGGAACTTACCTAGTGGCTTCTGCCCCTTCCCCTTTTTGGGGCACCTCCTTTCCTTGTTTAAGAAGCCCTAAACCCGAACCCGTAAACCTGAAACCCTAAACCCTAGCCCTCACAAGAGGATGCCCGCAACTTTGTGGCAGTTGTAACGTCTAATTCTTCAACCTCGCGACTGAGGTTGTACCACGCCGATGTGCTTTGCATCCAGGCCTGTAAGGTATGTGGGAATGTGGGTATTTCCCAAAGTAGGGGTACCCCTTTTCTACCCCAAGTAGAACAGAACCCCTAAACCCTAAACCCTAAACCCCAAAAAGGGTACCCCCCCCCCCCCCCATTTCGGAGGAGGAGGCCCGGTCGTGGATTTGTTTTTTGGGCTTTGCACGCCCTCAGCTTTCCGGGGCATTGTTTCCCCTGAGGCCTATGTAAATTCGAAGCCCTTCACTGGTGGCTGGGACACCTAAACAATAAACCCTGAGCCCTAAACTCAACAACCCTAAACCCTCAGCCCTAAACCCTAAACCCTAAACCCTCAGCCCTAAACCCTAAGGCCTAAACCTAAACCCTAGAACCCACAGAATTGGGCTTGTGCTTGCTGCGCTCAAGGCTATGTGCAGGCCTGAGACATTGCCCACGGAAGATGAGGCGCATCACGAAATCGGCGTTCGAGGTCCCCTAAGGTTTAGGGTTTAGGGTTTAGAGTCTAGGGTTTAGGGTTTAGGGCCTGGGAGCCAGAATCGGCCAAGAACGCCCGCCTGGGCAGAGAGGTTCGACCTCGATTTAATTGTGGCTTTCGAGCAGCTGCAGACTTCACGACTCGAATCCACGGCAAGTGGCCGAGAAGAAGGTGAGCCGCGGTTTAGGGTTTAGGGTTTAGGGTTTAGGGGTTAGGGTTTAGGGTTTAGGGCTGCAAGTGCTTCCACATTCAAAGCATCTGTTTGCTGCATAGGTTTGTTGGTTTTTCGCCGCCCTCAGAAGTAGGAGTTGGCTGTACTGCTTAATCCTGGCAATGCCGCAGCAATGCGAGTACAGGATACCGTTCCCTGGTCTCACCCTCAACCCTACACCCTAAACCCTAAAGCGTAAACCCGAAACCCTCTACCCTTCATTTTAGGGTTTAGGGCTGAGGGTTAGACACTGGCACAATCCACCCAAAGCCTACACGAAGAAAACCAAGCGGCACTCTAATCCCCTAGGGTTTAGGGTTAGGGTCTGGGGTTTAGGGTTTAGGGGATTAGGGTTTAGGGTTTAGGTTAGGGTTTAGGGTATTAGGGCTTAGGCGGCTGAGGGTTTAGGGTTTAGAGTTTAGGGTTTGGGGTTTCGGGTTTAGGGTTTAGGGTTTAGGGTTTAGGGCCGGGGTGTAGGGTTTAGGGTTTAGGGTTTAGGGTTTAGGGTTTAAGGTTTAAGGGTTAGGGTTTAGGGTTTAGGGTTTAGGGTTTAGGGTTTAGGGTTAACATCCCAACACCTGAAACCCTCAACGCCCTGCACTGGCCAGGGGATCAATCCGTTTGGACCGGCGCGAGCCTTGGCACTCTCCTATAGGACCCGGATGGCAGACGGCCGGGGGTGCAAAAGGGGGGAGTTTAGGGTTTAGGATTTAGGGTTCAGGGTTTAGGGTTGGGGTTTTTTTGGGTTGGGGCTCCCTTATACTCGGCTTAAAACCAAAAGAGGGTACCCTTCTCATTCCTAGGTTCCGCCTGGGTTTAGTCTCAGGTCTTGCGAGTATCCAAGGGTTTAGGATTTAGGGATCTAGACTTGGGGTTTAGGGTTTAGGGTTTAGGGTTTAGGGGTTTGGGGTCAGGGTTTAGGGTTTAGGGTCTAGGGTCTAGGGTTTAGGGTTCCAAACAGCTAGTCTGCCTTCGGCTCGTACAAGTTTTAGGGTTAAGCGTTCAGGGTGAATGCCTTAAAGGTTTGGAGGGTTTGGGGCACTATAGGGGCCAAGGGAAACAGTTTTTATCCATCGCCAGCCTTAAACCCTAAACCCACTGATTCTTTTGAAGGCTTTCGATCTGTTCAAAGGGGCTTATAAGGAAACCCTTAACAGAAGAGGAATAAGGGCCTACCCTGGATACTCGTATACCTAAGTAGCCCCTATTACCCTTGAGGTCCCTATATCAGGGTCCCTCCTACTCTGGGTTCTAGTATAGGAGGGCGCTTCTCTATTGCTTTTTTGAAGCTTTCAGGGCGCAGAATTCACCCTACAGGTCCATGCGTACCCTTTCCACTTGGACCCTCCAAGCGCCCTCCTCTGTCGACCCCCCTTTGGAGCGCAGGGTTTAGGGTTTAAGGTTTAGGGCTTCGGGTTTGGGAGTTTAAGGGTTTAGGGTTTAGGGTTTAGGGTTTGGTAAAGGGTTTAGGGGTTTTGGGGTGTAAGGTTTACGGTGCACATGGACCCTGTGAGTCAGAGTCCCCAGGTGGGCAAGGGCGTCGTTTCGTCGCTGATGGAGGTGCCAGCACCCCGCAGCCACAGCCTCCTATATATAGTATTCGCTTAAGAACCCTTGGGTATAATATAAAATATGATTCCCTATATTGCCCTTATAAGAAAGAATGCTTATCAATCTTTGGTTTCTCAAGAAATTAGTAGTACTAGTAGCTATACTCGGACCCAGAGTAGGAGGGACCCTTGTCTAGGGACCTCAAGGGTATTGTAGGGGCTACTTACAGGTATACTAGGACCCAGGGTAAGCCCTTATTCCCCTTTGTTTAAGGTTTTCCCTACAAGCCCCTTGAACCAAAAAGTGAAACCTATTTGTATCGGTTACTCTTTTGCCTTGCATGAGAACGCTTTGTCACTTTGATGCTGTGAGAGTAGTGCAGTTCAGCTTCTCCTAGCTATCTCTTGATGTCAAGAACCCCCTCACCTTTCCCTAGACCCTGAGCTCTAGTTATTTTCCCCCTGCCCCAATCGAAGAGGTGCTTGTTGCACCTGGGGTTGTTCCAAGGATTTCGCATGGAGTCGGGTTCACATGGTTTTGAGTGTACGTAGGATGTTGTTTTTTGTTTTCAGGATCTGTTGGTGCGTGTACGGTTATGTATGTGTATGTCTGTATGTATATATGTCTATATGTCTATATGTCTATATGTCTACATGTATACATGTATATATGCATATATGTATATATGTATATATGTATATATGTATATATGTATAGGTGTATATATGTATATATGTATATATGTATATATGTATATATGTATATATGTATATATGTATATATGTATATATGTATATATGTATATGTACATATATATAATATATGAGAAATGTGAGCAGGTAGGTATTTAAGTAGGTAGGTCGGTCGGTCGGTAGGTAGGCAGGTAGGTAGGTGTGTGGGGTGTTCTTTTTCGGGATGCTAGGAATGAGAACCCTACTTTGCGGTGCACGACCTCCCTGCTTGAAAATTCTTTCGGTGCTGCTGCGTGAGGATTGGGTGATCTAAAGAATCTAAAGTAGTGGCTCTTTTTTCCTTGTTTGGACCCAAAGCGATAAAAACTGTACGACCGTCGAGGCACCCTAAACCCCAAACCGTTGGGTGTTGGAAGGCATGGTTTTGTGGGTTTGGCCAGGTGCCGAATCGGTCGCGTTCTCTTGGCTTCTTATCATGAGAACACTGATCTTCCCCCCTCCCCCCAACCTGGCAACTAGTTCTTCTTCTTGGGGGGGGGGGGAAGTAGGTACCCTCAACCCTAAACCCTAAAGGGTTATAAAAGTCGGTATCAGGTGCTTCTTGTCCCACTAGCACTAAAAGCGCCCAACCCAGACACGGGCCGAAACCTTGGACCCCAAACGCCTAACCCTAAACCCTAAATCCTAAACCCTAACAGGCCCTAGCCCCTGTAGCACCAAAGAAAGGTCCCTGATCCCAACCCTCGAGCCCTAAAACTCCTTGTAAAGCCCTACACAGACCCAGAGCTCACTACAGGGTTTAGGGTTAGGGTTTAGGGTGTTCGCAAGCTCTGGGCTCTAAACTTACGACCCAACTCTGACCCCGAACCCCCATAAACCCCTACAGCCAAAACCCAAACCCAAGCTAGAGCCTGAGACCCTAGAAGCCCGAATCCTGGGCAGGTAGATGGCTTTGATTACATCTTCAAGAGAGGCAAGGGTGAGGAGGTGACGGACAGGGCAGCTCAACAGGGCTTTCGGGGTTAAGGATTTGGGGTTTGGGGTTTAGGGCTTAGGACTTAGAGGGCTTGCTGTAATATGGCGCAGAAGCTGTAGGGTTCAGGAAAGCACAGGGTTTAGAGTTTCGGTTTGGGGTTCAGGGTTTCGCTTTGGGGTGTAGGGCTTGGGCTTAGGGTTCAGGATGTGGGGGGTTTAGGGTTCAACTTTCATCCCCTTATGATCTCCACAAACTTCTAGCAGAAGCTACCTCAAAATGCCCCTAAACCCTAAACCCTAAACCCTAAACCCTAAAAACTAAACGCTAAACCCTAAACCCTAAACCCTAAACCCTAAACCCTAAACCCTAAACCCTAAGCAGGACATGTGGGCTGGGGAGGGGTTCAAGGGCTGCGATGCTTTGGGTCGGGCCACGCGTCTCCATTCATGGAACTCTACCTCGAACTCCTAAGGTTGTACCCTTTCATTTGGGGAACCCTGTT